AGATCTATGCTCAGTACATGTGTGTAAGAATATATCCCTATATATCTCTGGTTACAAAACTACTATCTGGTTACATGAACATTTCGTCACACACTCTAATATTTACATAAAGACTTAGTCACGAAATGCCGTACTAGTTTTGTGTCTCACATCTGCATAACAAAATCACAAAGATGCAGCTACAGGATGCAGGTGCAAATTTGGTTCATTAGTAGCACAACTAATAAAGCACAGAGGGCCAGCAATTTCTAGCTATGGAAAAAACATGCACCCTGCAAGTAAACTGGCAATGGGAGGGGGGGGGTGGGGTTACTGGGGTTACTGGCTGGTGTTTCATTGTTTCCCTAAGCAACACTAAATGCATCTTTTTTAGCAGTGTCTTGGATGATAATTAAATCCAAATTTTGTTTTTTTTGAAGGTAACAACAAGAGAAATGCCAGAAAAGCTCATGGTGAAGCTTCTATTCTTAGAAAATAGTAAAAATGAAGAAATACGAGAGAAGGTTTTGATGATAAATAATGCCTCGAAAAATTAACATCTTGTCATTAAGCCTCTAGTGTCCTTGAATTAGAGTTAATGAAATTAAACAAACCAAGAGAATACAATGCATTAGTTCATTATTTAGCATTGACTTTCTTATGGTTTGAAGTTGTTTATAAGCAAACCTTAAAATAAAATATATTTTTCATATTCTCAATGACTGTGCTGTGTGCTGTTGATAATAAATGTATAAATCCCCATAAACGAACTCACTCTAGTGCTTCACTTGCTCAAGTCACCAAATCTTGAAATTTATCTATACCCTGAAACAGCCCCTGCGCTGATCAAAGTCAGGGCATGGATAACTCACAGATCAAATTGGAATGTTCCCCTTCAGCCACTATACAGGGCTTGAATCTTCAGTACACATGTTCTTGAGCAATGAATCAAGTAGACTTCTGTAACCCAGAGTCAGTTATCAACCTAGTTTAGTGAGAATTACAGTATATTACTCTGGTATTCTAAGAAATTGTGCATTTTGATTTGCTGCATGACCTTTGAAAATGGACCGAAGCATACTGTATGGCTCAAAATTGACTATAATTTTATAAGTGGAGAAAGAAGCTATGGATTTGAAAGGTAAGTCAACAGCTGGCCAACTTTTGTTGTGTCTCCTTTCATACAGCTCTTGCTGCTGGGAATATCCTACAGTAYATTCTGTTTCCCTAGTTTTTATACAAGCTAATAAGATAATTCCTTCGTAAGAATGAATCCAGTGACCAGCAAAAAAAGGTTTAAAAAAGATTCCAACAAAGGTACCACTGTACCACTATGTCATGCTTTGTTTTTTTCCRCTGATTGAATGTCATCTTCTGATGCTTCCTTCCTACTCGTGATCTTAATTAATTCATTAATTATTTCTGATGGAGTTTTCTCTATAGTAAGAATCCTTTCTTCTCTACCATCAGCTGAAAAACAAAACAGTGTTAGATTGTGATGGTCCCTTTGTGTAAAATTTTTATTGAAAAGTAAACATTTGGGAAGCAAATGTGGTGTGCTCTGCTAATGAGCTGCCTCACACCAGTGCAGGGGCGTAAACAGGAGGGCCAGCCCCCCACCCCCACCCCCCAGTAATAAAATGGTGTCTTATTAGAATTTATGTGGTAATTTTCAATTTCTTGTTTCATTTTTCTTTTCTTTTGTTAAAAAAAAAAAAATGAAATGTACAACATAATGGTGGATTTTTAAACTTTTTGGGGAAGGGGTTCAACATTTTTTGGACTCAAACAAATTGCCGGGGTTTTTTTTTTGGGCCCCCCTTCAGAAAATCCTGGCTCAGCCCCTGCAATGTTACCCAGGTTGGATTCCCAAGCTTGATATCGTCATGTGAGTAGAGATGCCTGTTGATTCTCTC